TTTTCCAGAGAACTGAGATGAAATCTCATGCTTCTCCTCAACACCCATACCGCTCTACCCTGTTCCCTCACCACCACGCTAGCACCCCCATCCCCCACCACCCTGAGCACCCCCATTCCCCCACCACCACCTGGAGCACCTCTGCGAGGGGAGAAGCAGGGGCTGCCCCAGGAAGGGCCTGGTGGAAAGGGGGCCAGGGCACAGTTAGGTGTTGGCAGAATCAATGCAGAGCCACGCTAATCACCATCATTAAGGCTATAAAACCCCACTCCTAGGGGCCACAGGGCTAACTAGCATGGCCTGGGGCCCCAAGCTGTGGCACGGACTCAGGGGCCCAGCTCCAGTCCCTTTCATCTGAGCATCTTCCAGTCCTGCACAAACATTAATTAGCACCCGCCCCCGGGATCGCCTCATTATCCCCCAGACACCGAGCAGAGGGGAAAAGGGAAGGGAAGGAAGAGAAGGGGAGAAACTGAGGCCATCCCAGCAGCCAAAGAATCTTCCCCAGCAGGCGGGGCAGGGGGTAGGGGCTGAGTCCGGCGGAGGCCAGGGAAGGAGCTGCCTCAGAATCAGGCTTCCTCCTCCCTTTCCTGGCCCTTCCGGCTGTTCAGGTGGCCATCGATCGGCCTAATGTTCTGAGGGCCCCAAAGACAGCCTGAGCGGATGGGCTGCCTTAGCCATCCTCTGAGGATTGTCAGCCCCTGCCTCAGATCGGACCGGACCCCACAGGCTGAGAGTTGTGTCCTTTGCCTAGTCTGGGGGCGTGGATGGCAAAAGTGGGCCAGCCTCTCGGGAAGTGTCCCCTCAGGCCTCTCCAGAGTTCTGGGGTTCACCCCTTGCCACCAGGCCACTCTCAGCAATGTCTGTGTCTGTCCCTTCTCCCTGGATCCCGCCCGAGGCACCATTCCAAACCTCACTGCCCGTTCTGGCAGCATCTCCCAGGAGCCGCCGTGATTCTTGCTCCTCCCCCACCCCACTCCCTCAGAGAGAGTTAGAACTCAGCACAGCCCACCGGGACTGAAGGGTAACAGTGTGGCCTTCTGCTGCCCCAGCAGTGACCCACGCCCATTCCTGTCTCTTGTTTCAGGGCATTGACTTGAAGAAAGGGAAGATATGGGGCCAGGAGTTATCAGGTGAGTAAGACCCTGCAGCGCCTCCCAGCAAGAAGGATAACAACACAATTTCACGTTGATACTTCACAGATTGCAAAGCACTGATCCAAGAGTTTGCGCACGCTCTGATTTAATCTTCACAACTGCCATTTAAGGTTGCTGCCATCAATATCTCTATTTTAAAGAGAATGAAATAGAGGTGCAGACCCACCTGCCCTGTGTCACACAGCTAGTAAGGGATGGAGGCAGCATGAATGCAGGGCTCTGCCAGAGAGCACCCACATCCACTCTCCTGGCGGGAATGGACGGTGTCATTCGCTTCCCTCTGCCCACCTCTCTCCATTTCCACTCCCAGTTTCAGAATGTGGTTGTATGTGGCTGCATAGACCTCCCTCTTCTCTGATGCCCTCCTCTTCCCACCTCATCCTCTCCACCAGCACCACCTCCCTCCCAGATCCCAGCTGCAAGAACAGGCTCTCCACTCAACGTACAGGGGATGCTCAGGGGGTGAACTCACCTCTGGCACAAGGCTGAGCAAAATCACCAACCGAACCTCGTGGTTCCATAAATCACCGTGGCTTAGGCACCAGGTGGGCCTGGATTCAAACCCCAGCTGCACCACTTACTGTCCGCCTGGCTTCCTCTCTCAGTGCCTCAGTTTCCTCATCCCAAAAGTGGCGATACCCCTACCTTACCAAGTTTTG